GAAGGAAGGAAGGAAGGAAGGAAGGAAGGAAGGAAGGAAGGAAGGAAAGAAGGACTGCAGAAGGCAGGAAGAAAGGAAAAACAGGCTAAAACTAAATGTAGGCTAAAACTAAATGTAAGCTTAAAAAAAGAGAGAGAAACAGATTTATGTCTAGAAAGGAGCTAAAAATTAAGGATTTTTTAACAAACTCACTGTCTATATAATGGAACCTTTACTCTCCACTAGGGCCTTGGTCTCCAATCACTTTCATTCTTCTACATCAGGTGCTTGCAACCAGTGGCCAAGCAAAGCAATGCCTCTCCTCCCTTGTTTCTCTGTAGTCACCAGTTACTCACAGTTTAAAAGGTTTCTGTAGTAGGTCAATTGGCTTCCTGACTTCTGATCTCTTTACTAGGTACATGTCAAGGTCACAGGTGTCATGGATTAAGGTTACAGCTTGCTTAGACTTGTTTTTGTTTGTTTGTCCTTAATGTGTTTGGATGTTTTGTACCATGTGCATATCTGGTGCCTGTGGAGGCCAGAAAAGGATGTTGGATTCCCTGGGACTGGAGTTACAGACAACTATGAGGTGTCATAGGGGTCCTGGGTATTGAGTCTGAGTCCTCTGGAAGAGCAGCCAGTACTCTTAACTGCTGAGCCATCTCTCCAGCCCTTTAGGTTTTATTGGAAAAAAAGCAAAGCAAGGTCCTTGGAAGAAAGACTTTCATTAGGAAAGCCTGACTCAATAAAAGGGTCTCATGGCCTTGTCTCCATCCAGTCTCCACTCGTGGTTTTACACCATTAGGAAGGTGCATCACACTTTTATAGCTCTCAAAATTAAAGTGAACATCAGGGCAGTGTCTCATTATTACTAGTTTGATCAAAGACTAGTGCATGCTACAAAAATATGGAACTGACCTTTCTTATGTGACTGCTTGTAAATTTATGAAGCCTTCAATATAAGGAACATCTGCTATAAAGAGCAAAGGGTACCTTTATCGTTTGAAAGGGTTATTTTCCATAGTGGGAGTAGGTAGGTAGGTAGATGATAGATAGAAAGATAGATAGAAAGATAGATAGATAGATAGATAGATAGATAGATAGATAGATAGATAGATA